TTTTTAATATGTATATATATATATATAATTATTTATTTAAAAATTATAAGATAAATATGTTATAAAATCCCTACAAAAATAGCCATTTTGTTTCAACACCTCTGGTGTCTTATCAAGTGATGATGTTGAATGTAGATTGTAGAATAAAGGTTTTGAAAGGTTCAAATTAATTAACAACCCCTCGTTAATTAATTTAAACCTTTTAAAACCTTTATTCTGCAATCAAATTTGAACCTTGGATGTGGCACAAGGCATTTTTTTACATGAGTCACTTCTGAGACCATAGGCTAGGGCAATAATTCCCCGTAGACCCTGCATACATGGGGTCGGGCTTGTCTAACTCCCCAGATGCAACTCTGCCCTTTGGCAGAACCACATCTGGCTTCCTCTATGCCTGAGGGCAGAGAGTTCGATAAGTCAGCCACAAACTGGTAGATCTGCAAAGAGTCATATGAGACATATGATTGATTTTCGAACAACATCATTTATTTTTTATCTTTCCCTCTCCATTAGTAAGTGAGCTTCTTGATTCTGTCTAAATACAAAATACAGTAGCCATTCTTATTATTATGGATTGGATAGGTCCTACTAACACCTGTTATTTTTAGTTTGAACGTTTTATTATATTTTAATTTGTCTTCTGGGATCTTTCCTCCCCACATTTTCATGACCATTAGATTTTCAATATATTTTTATACTAGCTTAAAAGCCACCCTATTAAGCGGGCATTTATCCTGGCTCATGTGAAGGGCTCTTAATTGGGCCTTCATCACAGTAGATAGAGAAGAATAAATGCGATGGGAAACAATAAAGAATTCAAAATTTATTGCTGCATTTAAGCATTGCATTAATATTTAAGCATACCTTTTAAAAGTTCAATGATAATTTTTTTGCCACCACTTAATTTAAAGACAATTTGATGTATGTAGGTCCTTACTTTCCATAGAAACAATTATTTTTATTTCATAGGTGACTTTCACTGGATTTTGCAAATAATTTCAATTATTCCCAAATTTATTTCCAAGTTATAAAAATTGTAATCCTGAAAAACAATTGTTGCAAAAAATCACGTAAAAAAATTGCCGAAAACAATCGCAGAAATGAAAACTTCAAGAGAATGTGGGGAGAGTTTATTTTTTATTTTTATGCCTCATCTTGCCCATTTACACAATTTCAGAAATGATTCTTTAAAATATACTGTATTTGATGGCATATAAGGCACACATTTATATATACATATATATATATGAAAATTTATATTTATATAGAATTTATATATTTAAAAATTATATATATATATATATATATATATATATATATATATATATATATATATATATATTTTTGACAGCATATAAGTCACACATTGTTTTATTAAAAATATCTTTCAAAATTTCCCTGCGTCTTATATACCATATGTAGGTTTAAAATTTGCAATAGTCGGCCAAAATTAGTTACCTAGAAACTCCTAGACTTTAGAGTAATTTTCATATAACTATTCTCATTATTTTAAAAGCTGTTATGCAGATTAAAAGTGTTATCATTGATAATATTCATTATATTAATTTCAACACGTTTTATATTAGTACTTTGTTTCACTAAAATTATATGCAATAAATTCAAATTATATATTTGTAAAATATATTTGTTTCATTAATATTTTTCTTGTGATAACTTCATGTTGCATTACAATCAGAATTTTTATATCCTAATTATTCCACTAAGACATTTATTTACAAGACGCAGGTTGTACAGATCAGATAAAGGAAAATTTTTGACTGAATTTTAAGGGTAACTCTACTGTTTTTCTCAATTGTAATAATTGCTTGATTTTTATTTTGTTTTCTTACCTTTGGATATAATAAAGTTTTTATAGGCTCATGTTCTTTTTTTCCTATTATTTTTCGTTTATTTGTAATCATGGCTTGTTTATCCAAAATAATACCTCATAAATATAGCCTACGTTGTACCATTTACTAATAATTTTACTAATTACTAATTTTTTCCTGATTTACCCTGCTGAAATTGGGGTGTGTCTTTTACACCTGTGCATCTTATATGCCATCAAATACGGTAATTAAAATACTTTATTAAATAAAACAGCATTACTTAAACTGACTTAACTGCTTGTAAAAAGATACGGAAAAATTTGGCAGAGAACAATTTTTGTAGATTAGTGTTCAAGCCATGACATTCATCAGAAACGGAAAATATTGTTTTGTGTTTATGATAGAAATACAGTGTCAAATCAATTCCTTCCTTCATAAAAGAGTTATGTGTGCTTTGTTTTTATTGACAAACCTTTTTAATTTTTTCATATTTTTATTTTTTTTTTACAATCAAGTCTGAGACTGTGTCGGGTTGCCTCCTCCTGGTTTTTGAGGTTGCTACTTGGGGACACTTTTCAATCTATAAATACTCAGCAATATCTTTTCTTGCCCATTTTTTCTCATTTTTCCACATAGATGTCAACATGTAAGTTTCTCGTGGAAGAACGTGTCTCTTTTTGGGACACGCATGAACAATACACACACACACACAGACACACACACATAGATACTTCCCTTTCATTTAATTTTTTCTAGGACTTTCTCCTACACCAAACTCATACGTAAACAATTTACTCGCTTAAATGTTTTCTCCATTGATGTTCAGTAACACACAACAATATTCTATTTTATATGTAACCCTTTGTTGTAAATAGATTTTCATTTATTTGTACACATATATAGGGATCCTTGTTGTTTCTTTAAATTTTTTTTTTTTTTGGTGGACTCATACTCCGAATCTCCCATGTTCGTTGTGGGCATTTCAGGAGATACACATGTTTATCTCTCAACATGTATAACCGGCCCGAAACAACTGTTCTTACATCATTGATAACTTACTCCATATTGATAATCATTACTTACCACTGATGCTGTCCATTTTTTTTTAATAAGCACAGTTTTAATGGAAAGAAAAGAAAAATGGTCTGAAATACTGAAAAAATAAATGGAAAATACTTAGCAAAAAAACTTTCTTTAGTCCTTAACCAAACTGGTATAAATGAAAAATTGCTGCCTAAACACAGCCAACGTGTGTGTGTGTGTGTGTGTGTGTGTGTGTGTGTGTGTGTGTGTGTGTCATATTGGAGCTTCCAGTATGAATGTCAAACAGTACCGCATGCTGTTTCCAAATTTCTGGCAGAGTGAATTATGTCATAGTGTTCTTTTTCTCTCACACATGGTGCCCAACTGACCCTACTATACTGTGCAGTCAACAAAATCCAAAACAAACAACACATATGTGTGATACTGTTGTAGAGTAGTTTTCACAGTGGAGGCTTGTATTTCACTAAGTCGGTCCTAAAAGAGGTTCGACGTACAAAACGTTAGGAACTTGAAATAATAGTTAATGACGCAGCAATCTAGCTGTGGTGGCTGAAACTTTAATGTCCGACATCGACTGACTCACCAACTCCACTGAGAGTATTTAGTCACCGCCCCCCACCACGAGGGCATCATGTGGCACAAGGCTCGGCCAAAAATATGCCCTTTGAACCCGTATAAACGGGTTCAGAGTCGGTTTACCTCCCCGAAAGAGACTCCACCCTTTGGCGTAGCCTCGTTCGGGTTCCTCCCCGCCAGAAGGCAGTGAGTTCAACAGATCAGCCGGTCAGCCGGTCATCCGACTTCAGACTGAACAGTATTTATTCACCCTTCCTCACGAGGGCATCATGTGGCACAAGGCCGGTTTAACGTAGGATCTCCAAATCAGCCAAAAATATGCCCTTTGAACCCGTATAAACGAGTTCAGGGTCGGTTTACCTCCCCAAAAGAGACTCCACCCTTCGGCGTAGCCTCGTTCGGGTTCCTCCCTGCCTGAAGACAGAGAGTTCAACCGGTAAGCTGGTTGTCCGACTTCAGACTGAACTCAGACCAACTCCACTGAGCTCACTACTACTTACTATAGGTGGGAGAGTCTATTAATAATAGAATAGGTATGTTCTAGTATAACAGATACTAAAAATATAAAATGGCCACAATTTACCCATGTTCACCTTGTATCTCTTGTTTTCTCTCTGCCTTCCTTGAAAATACCCAACAATGGTCAAAAGTACTCAGAACATTACACACAATTTTGGCAGTTTTTAGCCTTTTTATTTGTACCTTCTTACTTCTTTAAATATTAACTTGCATTCATATTTATGATTGTTATTAAAATATTTTTTAAAGACGTTAAGCTGAAATATTTGACAAGGCAGCAGGGGAATTACCATGAATATTTTATAGTCATTGAACTAGCAAGGAATTTATTTATTTATTCATCAAAACATGGATGATGTTTCCTCAGTAAAATTCAAATAAGAAAACCACAGAATTTTCACAGGTACTGCTAGTAAATAGAACTTTATGAAAATCACCTTTTATAAATTAATGGAAACAATGTACATTTGTAGACTCATGTGTGAACATTTATGCATTATAAAATCATTAACACAAATACAAAAACCTTAAAAATATTAAGAAGTGGTAAATATAAAGAAAAAATTCAATGAACAGCTTACATTTATTAAAAGCATTTGTTGATATATATATTTGTCAAATTCTTGCCGTCTTCAAAATATTGTGAGGTTGGCCATGATGATGGCTTTTGATTAAAGCCGAGCAAATCATTTCTCTCTGTTTTTCTTTTGCTTTCTTCTCTTTCCTTCTCTACTTTTGTTTCTTTCTTCTTTTTTTTCTTACTTTACCTTTGCTTACCAAAAAGCAACTTGTATAAATACATGCAAATGGATAAGATTAAAATTAATCAAGAAATGGATTGTTAAGTGAAGCAACACAAATGTCTCTTTATTCTTTCGTCATTTTACCCATGTATATTTTCCCAATCTATTTATTTTCATCTCCCGCCATCTTTTTCTTCCATTTATATTTTTATCTACCTTGTCAGGTAAATGCTTTGACAAACAGATAAATTGAGAAGGAGGGATGTTGAATGAAATACACAAAGAGAGATTAGTGTGAACTGAATGAGTAGGGGGGGTAATAAATAGGTAGAGAGAGGAGATAACTGAAAAGACCTATAGAAACAGATAGATATGAAGACCGAGATAGATAGATATCAAGTAGATAGATAGATAGATAGATAGATAGATAGATAGATAGATAGATAGATAGATAGATAGATAGATAATCAAGTAACTGAGATAGATAGATAGATAGATAGATAGATAGATGGATAGATAGATAGATAGATAGATAGATAGATAGATAGATAGATATCAAGTAACTGAGATAGATAGATAGATAGATAGATAGATAGATAGATAGATAGATAGATAGATATCAAGTAACTGAGATAGATAGATAGATAGATAGATAGATAGATAGATAGATATCAAGTAACTGAGATAGATAGATAGATAGATAGATAGATAGATAGATAGATAGATATCAAGTAAGTGAGAGATAGATAAATTGAGATAGAGATATAGATAGATAGATATGAAGATTGAGATAGATAAATATAAAGAAACTGAAACATACGAATAAACTGAGATAGATAGATAGATAGATAGATAGATAGATAGATAGATAGATAGATAGATAGATATGAAGAAACTGAGATAGATAGATTTCTGGCAGAGTGAATTATGTCATGGTGCTCTTTTTCTCTCACAGATGGTTGGCATCTAAACCAGCTCCTCTGCTAGCTTTTTTGATGGTGAAGAGAATGGCATGTCACACAGTAGCACAAAAACAAGAGAGTTTATGTTAGTCTTCTTATAGGAGCCAATGTCCAACATGTAAGGCAAGGATGGGGTCTCACACATAGAATGGCAACCTTCCTAGAGATGATGTCCCTATAATAACACACAGTGTACTTAGACAAACATGAGTGTCTGAGTCAGACAATAGGAGAAGCGCCCGACCTCATAAAATCTTACCTAAAATCGAGATTTCTCTATCAGACAGGACTCATCATGCTTTGTGCAAGATTAATCCCAGTCCTGCATCAAGAACAACAATAAAAAACATATATATGTATGTTTATATATACATGGTGCGATGGATAAATTGTCGTCTAAATTAAACACAAAAAAAAAAAATAAAAAAATAAAAATAACACTGACATCTCATTTTAACAGATATATTTACCAAAATTATACCAAAATATCTTAAAATACTAAAGAGTAAATTCATTTAATAAAATCGCCATTGTCTTCAACCATGGCACCAGATGACTTTGGAATCTCTTGCTTCTCTTCGGGATGGTCTCCTTGCTTATGATGGGGAATGCTGTCATAATCCTTGCCTTCAGCTCATCTTTTTTTGGGTCTCTCACTCAAATGCACTTGTCACATTATAATCAAAGAGGTTGCAGTCTGCAGAGTTACATGGCCGAATCATAACAAATATAAAGGGTGCGATGGATAAATTGTCGTCTAAATTATGCAAAAATGAAAATAACACTGTCATCTCATTTTAACAGATATATTTACCAAAATTACACAAAAATATCTTGAAATGCTAAAGAGTAAATTTATTCAATAAAATCACCATTGGCTTCAACCCTGGCCATCAGAATCTCTTGCATCACTTTAGAAAAATCTTCTTAAGTTGGTGAATGCTGCCATCATCCTTGCCTTCAGTTCATCTTTGGTGTTAAAAGGAATTTTGTTAACCTCTCGCTCAACTGCGCCCCACACATAATAATCAAGTAGGTTACAGTCTGGGGAGGTAGGTGGCCAGATCTAAGTGTTGATGTAGTCACAGAAATTGTCTGACAGCCATGACTTGTGCAGCATGATGCAAAGCCCTGTTGCCAAAAAAAGGGTCTTCCAGTGGCCATGCTCTTAACTCAGAGCAGCACTACCTCCTCAAGGCACTTGATGTATGCCTCCATGTTGAGCCTGAAGCCCTGTGTGAACATGAATGAAGGTATAATATCGCCATCACTAGTGACCACTCTAAACACCATCATAATCACCATTAGGCTGATCCAACTCTTTACACTTCCTCTGCACTGTCCTCAGATTAACACCCAAGCACTCTGAAATGGATCTTCTGGTGTGAATGCCAAGCAGTACAGCATGCTATTTCCAAATTTCTGGTTGTGTGAATTGCATCATGGTCCTCTTTTTCTCATGGACTGTGCCCAACTGACCTTACTAGACTTTGCAGTTGGCAAAATCAAAAACAAACAGTACACATGGGCAAAATTAAAAATACAAAATGGCAACAATTTACCCATCTCACCCTGTATGTATTACCCTTTTAATTTTCTAAAATCTATTTTGACAACTGTACCACTCAAAAATAATATTGTCTAAGAACTTGCTATTATTGTCGACATTTATTTTGACATTGTCATCGACTTTGAAGGAACCTATAATTTTACTGCCTGCAATACAAGCTTTACTCCACCTACTGCGTTGTTGTTTGACAGTTACCATCAAAAACCCAGCCTCTAGAGCATCTATCAGGTCCAGCCTATCAGCCTAGACTTCACCTCTAAATATTCTTCTTCTATGTGCTATGTCCCTTCAGAATATTGGCGATCATGACTCTCCACAGTTTCCTGTAATAAATGTTATCTTTTTTATCTCTCCTAAAACTTTTTCTGCCATTCATTTACTCGTGTTTGATAGGTAGGTTATACATTGTTTTCCTCTGTCACTCTTAACTTCAAACTGCCGAGTGAGCATTAAATTTTCCAAGCCCTCTTTCCTCATTATGTGCCCTAGAAATTTCATCTATCTCTTCCTGATGTTTGTTTCTATTTTTCTCTAAATCTTCATCATTGCTCACATGTCTGCTCCATTCTTCTGTAGAATCACATTTCTGTTGCTTCAAGTCTCTTATTCACCTGCAAGGAGATTGTCCAGCATTCACTGACATATATGAGGATGAGTATTACATAGAATTTCAATATTCTTTTGTTTATAGAGAAATCTACTTTTTTAATACATTGCTTAGCTTTTGGAAGGCATCTTTCACTATGCCAGTGCCTCTTCGGATATCAGTATCACTTTCCTTCCTTTGTTAAGACACTTCGCAGATAGTTAAATTGTCATACTTATTTGATTTTGGTATCTCCAATTTGTAATTTGAATGCTGGGTTCTTCCTTTGGTTAACAACCATGCATTCTGTCTTCTGGATTACTCATTGAAGATCTGTTTTGAGGTACTTCAATGACCAACTTCCATGTTTCTCTTTGTGATGCTTACTTTACATGTATTTAGGAAATGTTCTTAATATTTTTTACACCATTTCTCTTAGTTTACATTACCAGAACCTGCATTTTCAAATATAACCTTGTTGAGGGAATTGAGCAAGCAATATGGATTGACTACAAACCCTTGCAGAGGCAGTGCTTGGAAAACAAATAGTCAGCATTTTTTTACATACATATATATATAATATAAAAAGCTCAAACACTAATATTCCATTCCATGGTTATAATTTATTACATTGGAATCATAATCCAATTCATCAGACCTACAAATTCAAAAAGGTTTTTGATTTTGTAGGTCTGATGAATTAGCTTGTGATTATGATTTCAATGTAATAATTATAACCATGGAATATTAGTGTTTGAGCCTTTTATATTATATTCTTGCTCTGATTTGAACATTGAGCTCTACTTGGATTATATCCTCTTGAAATATATATATATATCCTCTCAGTATTTTCTATGTAATAAATTATGTACTTTTCTAATTGAGGAGACATTTATTAAGTATATGTAAATATATATATATATATATATATATATATATATATATATATATATATATATATATATATAGCTGGCCACTCGTATGTCAGAATACCTGTCTAATAGGGTGGCCAGCCAATCCCTATTTCAGCCGCTAGTTCAGTCACAGCTATCGACAGCCCCCAAGGGTACTGTCTATCCAGTTTCACTCACAAGGCTTGGCTTAACCTGTGGTATGGTTTTCAGGTACATTCCAAAGGTGCTGCAAGCTAGGATCACCCCCTCCAGATGTATAACACCAGGAAGTTTTCTTTCCTGACAAATCAACCATGTTGAGATTTGAACCCAAGTCTCATGGTCAGAAAGTGAACATTCTAACCATGCCTATACTGCCATATATATATACATATATATATATATATATATATATAAACATACTTAAATATGAAAACAATAAACAAAAAATAAAAATTCTTGAAGCTTTATACATAAAACAGTTGAAACTTAACCTGAACAAAATAAACTACAAAATCTCCACAAATATCCTTAAATGCCTATAATTGATAACAGAAACCATTGGTTTATACCAATGGCTTCCCATACTTAATACTTCTCGTTTTCACTCTCGCGTGTTCATCTGTGACGTCACGAGCTGCGACGTGATTTTCACTTCTACGTCTCGTATACACGAGTTAGTCGTTGCTTTGAAATTTTTTATGCAACAAAAACAGACTATCATTATTGTTTTGTCCGTGTATTGGTTGATATATTGAAAAGTAATTGTCATCTTTGATAATGGCTTATGTAAGCTGAAAGCTTAGATTGGATTTAAACATGTATCAATATGGTGATTTCATTTCGACTTTCAATGATAATGTTATTAAGCTTATCAGACAATATGAAAGGAACTTACTTAAAATAAATAGACAAAACTTGTCTATATTATTTAATGAAACATGCATCAATATATATACATTGTATATTTGGGCAGCAATCACTCTTTTATGCAAATTTCATTGAAGTGGACTGACTTGGCTGATTATACATTTTTTCTCATTTTTTGACTTGTAAAATGTACATATGTACACATGTATTAATACCCTGTAATAATAAACAAATTCTATGACTCATTTGTCTTGGTAAAAATACAAAAATCCTTTCTATTGGTGCACTCATTTTTTTGCCTCATACTGTATATATATATAAATATATATATACAGGTAAGATGAGAACAAATAATGAACAATTCCAACATTCGGGACATTTAATTTAAAAAGGACTCAATACAAAGTAGAGCAATATTATTTATTTTAGGATATTACATCGAAAACATGTCAAAATCTCCAATCTATGGATCATGACCCATTTATTGAAAATAATTTTTTAATTTTTGCTTCTTTGCTTAGTTTAAATTTAACATATTTGATTGGTTGATCTGAGTAAAGCGCACAAACCTTATAAGCCCCACTTTTTCTTTTCTTTTTTTCATAAAAGAGGTTGTATTTTGTTTTAAATCTAAATAAATCATTCACTCACCAGTAATTTACAATTGTCTGATGAGATGCATTTGAGAAAACATCAAAACACAACTGCAATTCTGTAGCAATTTTGACATTTTTTTCTCACATGTATTGAGCGCTTTTTAATACTACGATTTCCTGGTCTGAATCAACACTATTAACCTTTATATATATATATATATATATATATATATAAACAGTTCACATTTATATTTACATTTATATATATATATATAAACAGTTCACATTTATATCTAATGGACTCTCGCATCAGTTTCAACGTATGAGGATCTGACAACTTAGTGATTCAGTTATGAAATTTTGTGCGATAATCTGAAGTGGCATTTAAGACCCGCTAGTGAATTACAAAGGAGGCCACATATGGAGCAAGTGTGAGGATTGTGAGATGAGATCACTGTTAGATTGGTTGACCTTTTAGATCTTGCTCTTGCTTCTTGAAGATGATTCAGACACTCAGACTGAAAATTGCTGAGTCCA